TTGTCTTAAAGCCTTCCCTACATGAACTCCTTGGCCCTAATCTTAACAAGACTCTTAATGCTCTTTTTTATACAGTAAATATACTTTTCATTAAGGAAGAAGAGCCCCAAAAAATGATACCGTAATTAAGTTGAGCCTGCACATGAGAAAAGTAAACCATACGTAAAACTTGTCCACTCACCGTAGGCTGCAATTTTCTAAGCATGAAAATTGCAGTACTTAATTTTTTTATTAAATTATCCGAATATTGTTTCCACTTGAGATGACTGTCAAGGCACACACCCAAGAAATTAACACTTTCATCAATATTAAGAACTTGATCGTTATATTCCACATGTAATGGATAGTCCATGGTCATAGGCGTAGTAAATTTAATTACATGCGTCTTCTTTAGATTAAGGACTAATTGATTATTTTGAAACCATTCATAGATATGATTCATTATTTTATTTATTTTATGATTCAATGTGGTGATGTCTTTTGAGGAAACAATAATGGTGGTATCATCCGCGTAAAGAATGGTATGAGCCAAACCATCTAGAGTACTTGGCAGGTCGTTAATGGAAACATTAAATAGTAATGGTCCCAAGACAGAACCCTGGGGAACACCATGTCTGCAGGTTACCCATCTAGAAAGAAAGGTGGTTGAGTCATGAGTGTGTAATACAGTTCTCTGTTTCCTATTATGTAAATATGATTTGAGCCATTTCAAAATACATCCTTTAATACCATAATGTTCTAACTTTTGGATCAGTAGGTTGTACTTGACACAATCAAAAGCCCTTGTAAGGTCACAAAATACATCTACCACTAGTTCTTTGTTATTCCATGCCTTATAAAATAGCTTCTGTTAGTTTGAAGATAGCATTCTGTGTAGATATACCATTTCTGAAACCAAATTGCCCATCCACAATAATATTATTGTTTGTCAAATGTTGTTTTAGTCTATTAAAGACTAATATTTCAATTAATTTAGAAAAACCTATCAATAAAGAAATAGGCCTATAATTAGATATTTCAGATGTATCACCTTTTTTAAAGCATGGTATAATGTTAGCGTATTTTAGTCGATCTGGGTATATACCTGTTGTTAAGGAAAGATTGTAGATGTGAGTAAGGGGCTTAACTATCTGCGCCCCACATAACTTGATAATTTTATTAGACAACCCATCGTATCCACTAGAGGTCTTATTCTTTAATGAAAAAATTGTGCTTAAGACTTCCGCTGAAGTAATGGGAACATTAACTATATCTGGATAGCTGCCAAAAAGGCTACATCTAATTGTGGGATGTGCACCTTCATTGTTAGGAAACTGACTAATTATCTGATCTATTGAGTCTATGAAGAATGTGTTAAAAGACTCAGCTGCTGTATTTATGTGGATTGTTTTCTTATCACATCTTAATTCTGTGGGAATAAACTTCTTTTTGGAAGCATGACCCACTTCGTTGTTAATAATTTTCCATGACACCTTGGATTTGTTAGTGGATTCGGTTAACAAATCATTATAATACATTTCTTTTGCTTTATAGATGACCTTTCTTAATATGGAACAATATCGAGTATAATACTCTTTTAATTTAGGACAACTAGTTACTCTACTCATCATGTAAAGATATTTTTTACGCCTACAGGACACTCTAATTCCATTAGTAATCCACTGATTATTATACACAGTATTTACCACAGATTGCATAGGAAAACATGATTCAAAATTAACTAAAAAGGTACTCAAAAATTTATTAAAACTAGCATTAACATCTGTGTTATCCAGGGTACCGTCCCATTCCTCATTGTGTAACATGTCAATAAATTTTAAGACTCTAGACTTGGTTATTAGTCTTTTCCTAACAAGCCTACTGTTCTTTACTTGAGATTCAAAAACATTATTTATCATCAAGTATTGTGCATCATGGTCTGAGAGCCCATTCATTACCGAATAGACTTGAACAGTGTTTAACCTATTATAATCCAAAAATATATTGTCTATAGCAGTGCTAGATTCTTTGGTTATCCTTGTAGGGAAGTCGACAACGCGACATATATTATATGTATACAAAAGTGAGATTATCTGGTGAACATTATTTGAATTACTTAAAAAGTTTACATTAAAATCACCACACAATATAATTTCTAACTTAGGCTTATATAAAAATTTTAAAATTATTTCTAGTTGATTGACAAATACTTGGATGTTACCACCAGGAGATTTATAAATACATAAAAGTATAAAAATATTGTTACCAATTTTCGTCTGAATTGCACAAGCCTCTATGACCTTTTCAATACAATATTTGGAAATATCCACTACATTACAGCTCAGATCGGATTTACAGTAGGTGCATGCTCCACCTCCAATATTATATTGACGTGAAAAGTTGGAGGCCAAATAATAATTTTCAGGTTTTATTGTTAATAATTTCTGCTCTACCAAATAATGTCCTGTGATACAAATAATGTGTGGACTTAAGTCATGGCTATACAGCATACAAGTCAGTTCAACAATTTTATGCTGGAGCCCTCTTATATTTTGATGAAATACATTTAATGTTTTAAGCTTAGGCTGAGATTTATTCAGTCCCAGGAAATTCTGATGGTATATCTTGAAAGAGTTAACTGCAGGAACATGTTCTACAGCCTCACAACCTACCTGAGATTGAGTATTTATATGTAGGGTGGCAGTGGATGAGTTTGGGGGAGTGATCTGAAGTATGCATCAGAAAACAATTTTCTAAAACTCGAACTTTGACATCAGTTGCATTCAACGTGCATGTGCATAGGGTGAACAATTTTAAGTACGAATTTTCAGTAAATTACAGCGTATGGGTGCCACTCATTTCTTTTTTTGTTCACCTTCGGCTTTTAGCGTTTCATATGGTTAACCTAAACAGAACATCTCACAAATCTATACATACATTTTTCTAGCAACAGCCTACACAACGTTACACACAGGGAACCGTCTTCAACCACGTACAGAACAGCCATTTGTAAGCTTTGCAACACTATGTTGCCTGACATTAGCAGCAGTTCCCTCGCGGACGCTTGACACTGCCATCTATATTCAGTGTTCAAGCAATCTCCGAAACTGACGCAGCCACTGTCGACAACTCAGTCGGCACAAAGGTTACCTACTATCGCTTACAAAGGCCTATGCCTGCCAGACGGTACTAGCTCATACGAAAGGAGACCACTGGGAAGACCAAGACGTAGGTGGACGGATAATGTTAAAATGGTATGGATTAGATACATCTGGCTCGGGATAGGGACCAGTGGAGAACACGGGGAAGACCAAGATATACTTTAAAATTGCTAGATGTACACACAACATTGATGCTAATATAATAGCGAGAAAATATAAGTATGTACCATTTCATTTACTGCCTCAAAATTTCAAAATGTCGCTTGATTAAGTACTGTTTAACATTTTTTGAATATCTTGCCAAAAGTTTCCATCTCTATATTGGTGAAAATAAATAACTGATGCGTCATTAACACCAAGCGAGTGTCCCACGTCCTGTTTCTTGTGCTTCAAAATACTTTGAAATTGTTATCATGTCCATCCACTCGTCCAAAAGGAATAGTGAACAGAATCATGTAAAGATATTTCTATTTTTCAGTTGCCTAATTTTCTACAAAAATATTACTAGCAGCTTATATTGAACAATGCATCCACGACACATATATTAAACGACTGTTAATGTATGTAAGATCCGTTCCCCTAGATATGTGGTCGTGGCCTATTATAATTATGGACCTCAAAACTTTCAGTATATATTCATTATGTAATAATATGAAAGGCAACCAAAAATATATGTAAAAACAGACGGTGGAATTATAAGCGTACATAACGCGGCATGACGCCTGAGAGACGGAATATTATAGCGATAAGACGAGATCATTCATATAAAACGGCTAGGTAACCACGAGGAAGGGATGTGCATACAGAGGTATGATGCAACAGAGCCGGAACAGTGAAGCGAGAAGACACGACTGTTGCTATGCAATAGCTA